TCTAAATCTATCTTTCATTTGTGACATCGCTTTTTCTATTTCTCAATTGGTCGATTTTGATGACCAAGAGAAACAGCCGGCACAATCAGACATTATTTTTTTCTAGGAACCCTTACTTCCAGTAAGGGAATGATGAGTCATAGTATTTAGCATCCTTTCAACATGCTATTATAATACTACTACTTCTACTGCCAAAAAAGAGCGAAATCTGTGGAAAATCTCGTTCAATTACCATCAGCTTTTGCTGTGACGATTGTGATGCCACATTTTCTCATTTCAATTGTAAGAGAAAGGATGTCGTTACAACTGGAGATGTTCTATCAATTTGGAGTCACGTTCTTTCCGTTGAATAAGGTGTGGTTCTGCTTCAATAAGGAACAATATTTTTTTGACTGCTCCTTCGATGATCACTGTGATAACAGTGTCACCTTCGAATATTCATCTCTCTCCACAAAACGTAATAAAAAGATTGCAGTAATCAATAGTGAAAATATATCACACAAAAATTTTAGATTATAGGTATGACTACACCATTCTAGTGGATAAAACATGCAACATTTATCATCGCCTTAGTTCTCTTACCACCTGTTACTCTATTCATCGTCCTCATTCGTCTTTAACATCTTTCAAAGTGGCACTAGCTCCGTATCTTTTACAGTAAAATTCAGCCATGTTCCTAGTCATAATAAACTCGTGTTAGTTGTTCTCTTAACATAACGATATTTTATTTGAGTTTATTTTCATCATTTCTTTATTTCTATATTGCATACTCTAGTTTCTTTTTTCTTTCTTTTGTTTATCTCTATTATTTATTTTTATTTTTCCCTATTTCGTATGTGTAGTTTAGCTCGATTCATTGATATTACAGATCGGGGACCTTTGATGACTCAGGAACAACCTTAGACATATGAATAGGCACGTGTTAATATATTTTTTCTTAACCCTATCGACTGAAAAGTGTGAAATATCGATGTTTTTTTGACGACTCAGGCCTATAGAGCAAACATTTGTCTCCAAAATACGTATGCAAGAATCCTTCACAACAGAGTTGTTAATTTTTAAAGAATTTTTTTGCAAAGTATAGTGACACGGTTTACTAGATTTTCCTCCAAAAAACAGTGCACATTGAGTTTTCAGAGTATCAGTACATTTCTTTTTACAGGGATGCACATTGTCATTATAGACATTGAATGATGTGGATGAAATAAGGACAGCTACGAGTCTAAGATTAATTTAGGAAATATTTTTTAGATTATGGATACTATCAAAAGCTCTGATAACGAACAAAACGTCAGATCACATGGGCTTCAAACATCACGAAAATCTATCGCTTCTACCTCATCGTTACCAACAGGACAAACGAAGTCAATAGTAACTTCACCACGTACTATCATTGTTCGAAAAAAGGATTCTGGATTTGGATTTAATGTTCGTGGCCAAGTTTGTGAAGGAGGATCGGTGAAATCAATCGGTGGCACATTGTATGGTCCTCTTCAACATGTATCAGCTGTCGCAGACAAAGGTTCCGCTGAAAAAGCTGGTCTTAGTGTTGGAGATAAAATATTAGAAGTGTATGTCGTGATTTTTTACTTTTAATTATGCTGGGTGCTTAGATAGTTCTTTATTTTTCTTAGAAACGGAGTCGATGTTGAGGGTTTCGCACATAAACAAGTGGTAGATCTCATTAAAAAAAGTGGTGATCAGTTAACGCTTGTTGGTGAGTTGACTTTCTTTTCTTTGTTTATTGGTTTTTTTACACATATCTAATTTAGTAATTGCATCAACAAGTGAGGAGTTGCATACAAATATTATTTCTGGTGATGATTCATCTGGTAGTTCAAATGATTATAGTGAAAGACGTTCATTGGCTATTACAATACCGGATTACTCAATATTAGAAACACGTGATGAAAAATATTGTGTAAGTGTCTCTCTCAATAAGTTTAAGAGTTAACTTATCATGAGTATCAGATAACCTCAGAATGGTGTACTTTTGCTCGGTTATTACCGAAAATTTTGTAGCTATTATTTTACATTTTTGTTCAGGTATTTAATATTCATATTGCGGGTCGACATTTGTGCTCACGTCGTTATCGAGAATTTGCTTCATTACATAACAATCTAAAAAATGATTTTTCTGATTTTAATTTTCCACCATTACCCAAAAAATGGCCATTTAAATTATCGGAACAACAACTGGATGCAAGACGTCGTGGATTAGAAGTTTATATAGAGAAAAGTGAGACAATCACAATAGTAAAATTGATAAATAAACGTGATTTATTATTAAAATTTAGTTTGTTCAGTAAAAGTGATTGGAGATAGTGAACTAGTACAAAATTTTTTATCTGTAGATGTTAATGAAGTAAGTGGGATCCATTGTGAATAATATATCTGTTTATTTGTTTGATTTTGTTTTTTTACTCAGCGTGATACTGTTGCTGTTGATATAGAAATTAAAATATTACTACCTGATCAAACAATTTGTACTATCAAGGAAAAAACGTTTTTCTATGACGGATAGTATCTATCAAGTAAGAATTGTTCTATTTGATCTATTTACTATAATTGATGTTTTATTGTTTTATAGAATTTAGTACAAAAAATTAAGTTGCCTTCTGAATGTGTGCCTTTATTTTACTTGTTTGAAATCATTGATCATAATTTTGGTAAGCAACATAAAATGAGATGATTTTGTTCTTAAAGTGAATGTCAAAGTAGAAAGATATGAAAACATTTTATTTTTTTAGAACGTAAACTTCGATCAAACGAATATCCACATCAAATTTATGTACAAAATTGTTGCACATCTAATACAACATGTCTTTCTTTACGAAAATTTGTATTTTCTCCATCAGCTGAAATTGTTTTGTTAAATTATGCACTTACTCGTGAATTTCTCTATCGACAGGTATAGTCTAATATTTCATATATGCTTTTGTTTTGTCTTAAAATGATCTTTCCGTATTTAACTATAGGCAATCGATGAGATAAATCGTTCAAATAATGATGAAGTTATTGAACATCGTTCAACATTAAAAAATTTACCTCAAAATGATTTTATTAAATTTGTACAAAAAATGGATGATTATAATTCAATTACATTTCCATTATGTCCATGTAGTTCAAGACAACAAAATGCTTGTGTAATAATGAAAATTAATTATCAAAAATTATTATTATTTCCATGTGATACTGATGGAAAAATTGAACAAAATCAATTAGCTGAATTTCAATGGAATGAAATTATGAATTATTATACTGTTGATCATCAGCAAAGAACTTTTGATAATAAAGAAAAAAATATATTTCTATTTGAATATAAACGTTCATCAATGAAAACAAATAAAACTGTTCGATTATTTACATTTTATTCATTGTATATGTACGATTGTTTTGAACGTATATTCAATGAATTAAACTTAGTTAAACCAATTATTAAAAACACAGACAAAGAACTGTTGCATGTAGGTGATGATGAACATGTTTAAAAATATCATTAATATAGTCTAATAGGCATTTATTCGTTTTCAATTAGAAATAGTAGTTTTAATTATTTTTTTTTTGTAATTTTCTTCTTTTCTTTCTTACTCTGCAATATGGCTTTTATTTTTTTGAATATTCATCATAATCATTATTTTTGCATTTGTTTGCATGTTTATTCAAAAAGTCATTTTTCTAATTAGTAACACAATCAATCTAATATTTTCTTTCTTTCTCTTTCTAATCTTTTCTTTTGTTGACAGCTAAAATATTGTATAAGATAGAAAAAATTTTCCTCTTTATCAAATAATTTATTTTTTTAACTGTTTGTTCTTAACCGGTGTAGAAACTCTAGTTATTTTTTGTCTCTACTTAATTGAACGTGATATTGTGTTTGCTTCAGTATCAAAAGTTGGAACAAAAGTTAATAGTTAATAAATATTGAATATATAGCTTTAAATAATTTTTATTTTTTTCTCTCACTTTTTCAATCTCACTTATCTAATTTTTCTCGTCTGATCGATAGTCTAATCTATATCTAATATATATTTTCAATATTTATCTTTTTGTCTAAATTATCTGTAACACTTTTAATATTCTATGTTTTCTATTGTCTTGGGTTTTTTGTTGGTTTTATTTTCAAAACACAAACAAGATAAATAATTTTATATGTTACTTATGTATATTCATATATATAGAGATATATAGACTCTGGGCTTTTTACTCATATTTTTATAATAATTCTTTTTGTTTCTCTTTGCTTTAAGAGGTATGTAGACAATATTCAATTTTTATTGTGTATTAAGGATTATGCAAGATAAATAAATGACGAATAAGGTTATAAAATAAGTTTTTTTCCACAATAATTGTTCATAATTCTTCAATAATGACAAAGAATAATGAGTACTATGATTTTCTGAGTTATTTTTTACAAAATATAATTTTATTGTGGATGATAGTCAAAAGTAAAATATATTTTATTATCCAGTTGGAAGTTTTTAGGATCGACAATTTTTCTCTTGATGTAATGAGTGCAAAGTGTTTTTCTCTTGTCGTTTGAAAATTACAATATGTTCGATTCTACAACATGTAATCTATTCGTTTACAAACATATATATTTGCATATTGGAAATATCTACTGTTATAGAATTGACTATCGATGACATGTGAAGAAAATTTTTTGTTTCATCTACGATTTAACTTCAGTGCATATTTTTTATTATTTTAGATGCATTTTTCGATTCCTCACTCAACAAACTCGAAAGATTCAGCGTCTGGCGTTACTTTCGCTCTTTACCATATTCATATAAATGGTACTCATCATTCAAGTTTACGTTATTCACAATTACGAACATTTAATGAAGAATTACATCGTTTATTCTCACCATCCACAATATACATTCTTTCATTTCCCCCCAAAAAATTATTTTTATCAACAACTGAAAAAGAGAAACGTCGTCTTCAACTAGAACGTTATTTACAATCAATTATACAACATAAATCAATAGTTACCTCAACATATTTTCAAAGATTTTTTTTACATTCTCAACGTAAAACATTTCAATATCTATTAGAAGGTAAAGAGAATCAAGATGAAAAATTAGAATTTTCTATTTTTTTATTAAACAATCATCAATTAAAAATTCAAATATATCCAACTGATAATACCCAGCGATTATTAGATTTATTAGCAATAAAAATTCAACTATCGACAGATTTTTTATCATACTTTGGCTTATTTTTAATTAAGAATGATGATAAATCAACATTAGCAACTGATATATTAATTATTCGACAATTGGTAGACTTTGAAGCACCTTATTTATCATTAGAATATATGAAACGTAAAACAAATGATTCTAGTTATTGTGTAATATTAAGAAAATCTTATTGGGATATAACGTGTGATAATTTATTATTAAGTGATCAAAAAGCAAGAAATTTATTGTTTATACAAGTACAACATGAATTAGAACATAATAATTGTTTATCGAAAAATATACCAGATGATATCAAACGTCAGCTACTTACATTAAAAGAAAGTAATTCATTCAAAGAGTATGTATTACTAGCAAAACATTTAAAATATTACGGTTATTCAGTCATTAAATATTGTTCCATGTTATTTCCACTTACTAACGATCAACAGTCACAAAAATTGTATCAGTGCGAACTGGCTATTGGTAATAGTGAACTTGTTTGTATAATTTCTGATATTAATAGAGAATTGACATTCAAAGTGACAAGAATAAGATGTTGGCGTGTAACGAGCACATCCAGACAACAAGAACAACAACCAATGTACTCTACAAATAGTCTATCATCTATAATCACCACAAATACCGTGAATGATACGGCACAAACGACGATAAATGATGAAGATATGGATCTTTCGTTTGAATATTTGATATCGAAAGAATCATTAAAATGGATTACAATTAATACATTACAAGCGACATTGATTAGTGCCTTTTTACAAAATATGGTGGATGAAATATTAACAAAAAGAGGTGGGCAAACACTACCTACGGATGACAGTAAGTCATCAATATCATTAACATCTAAACAATCATCACAACAAATCGTATCGTCCACGAAATTTGGAAATGTATTAGTAAACCGAGCTGTTTCCGATTTGTCAAAACCAAACAATATGATATTTGATTATGATGATGATGCTAATTTATAAATCCAAATTTAATGTTTAATCGAAATACTCTTTCATTTAGGAAGTCGAGAATGATCATAATCGTTTGTTACCTTACCGCAACATTTTTCTCTTAGTTGTTCGCATATCCTCTGCAGTGGTATGTTGTTAAAAATACATTCCAACTATTTTCACATTCTTCTTCAAAGAAGTATGAAATTATAATGAGAACGAGAATAAAAGTCAAATATATTAGAATAATCTTTCTACGACTACTTAATTTTTCTCAAATTCGATACTTGTCATTCACTCTTCAACTGTTATTTTGTATTTTTTTTTCTTTAGTCTTCTTTTTCAGATACCTTGTGGCGAATACCTGTATATATAAATGAAATGTTTCCGCTTTTTTTCGTCCTCCATCTTCTGGCTATCTTTTTTATCTTTTTATTTCTTTGACAGTAAATTTTCTACATTCTTTTTGCTTTGTTTTCCTCTCAGATTTAATTTCATTTAATGCGAGAGGACAAACAATATGACTATGTAAATTTTTCTCTTCTGTTATAAACATTGTAAATTAAATTCACCAGTTTTTAAAATCACTAGTCAGTTAATGAAGTTATATTATTAATGTAAGAAATTATTTGTTATAAAATATTTTCTTCTATAATGTCTATTGGGCATAATTTGTTTTTGTAGTGTTGTCGCATACTAAAATATTTATCATATTTATAGACATTACTTCTCAAAACATTTTTTTGTTGTATTTACGTGTCTAATATTTCTCATTGATAATGAAGATTAGTATGGGATTTATTTTTTAAATAGTGCAATAAAGTTTCGCTTGACGTGTTTAAAATTAACGTTTATGAATCTGAACGCGTTATCATAATGGATTACACTTTCTTGCAAAAAGCAGAGGATCAGATATGATAAAAAACCTGTGTTCGAGATTGAATGATAGATTTAACTTTCAATTTGTTTCATTTGCAAGTATCGAGAAAAGATAGACTTACTTTATAAAACCGATAGTAGCATGTTGGATGAAATTTATGAAAGAAAAGTATAAACATTGGATATATTGAGATAATTTTTAGAAACAATGAATGTAGATTCACCTAGTTGAAATATCCCCAATTGATGTATCATTACGAATGAAAACATTTGTTTTATATTACTGTTTTTGAATTAAACTGCCTTTAATAGTATTACAATATTGTTGATAAAGAATCTCATCATTTTCATGGATGGTTAAAATTATCCAAAGTAGACGATGTTTCGGAAACAGTAGCTTGTTCTTGTTGAGAGGACATTGGTGGCTGTGGTTGTCCTGATTGACGTTTTTCTACTTCTTGTTTCATCATACTTTGTTGTATATGATGAGGTAGGCCAGAATTTAAAGTTAAAGCATATGACAACATCATTTTTGGTGTATCCTCAAAATCCACAATTACTTTTATGTACATGGTATTGTCTCGAATGTAACTATTGTTATCTTGCTGAATTATTGAAAGTGGAATAAATTTTGGTATACCAGAGGCAATATTCATTTCAGAACGTGGTCGCTGAAAACTATTTGATTTTATATCAGGACGAAATGAGTCTATGATATGTTGTTGTTGTCCACTTAGATCAAATAAACAAAATGTAACTTTAAAATTGAATGGCCATGTGAGAATAGCATCATAAACACCTCTCATAATAACAAAGAAAAGTGACATATGCGTACGACGTGCATTACCATCACCATGTAAATAGAGTCGAGCACGCATTTTGTAACCAGTTCGTGATGAGTAGAAGGGTGGTGAATAGATGCTTGTTTGTCGTTCCGATTGTGCATCAACCATATTTTCAGATACATTGGTTATTTTCCATATTAATGTACCATCAAGAGAAATCGATTGCAGGTCGTCAACCTTTTGTTTCATACTTGATGTTTCTTGTTGCAGAATTTCATAACTAGGTGCTATACCAGCAATATAAGAATCTTTTTCATCCACTGATTGTTTTATCTGATTTATTTCAATTTGACACGACTGTAATATATTTTGGTGCCGCAATGATTCTGTGCTAAGTCGAACACTATCCTCACTGAGAATTTGAATATCTTTTATTGACACCATTAGAGTTTCATAATTTTGGCTCAGTTTACCATAGAAATCATTTATGTCTGCTGATGACACAAGAGATTTGGCATTTGAAATAGCTAATGGAACAAGATTAAATGCTCCTTCTTCCACTTTACCATTCACTACTGTTTGATCGGTTGTCGTTCTAACTATTGAAGTTGCAGCGCTTGTAACCGTCATCAGTGATGGTAATAGCTGTAATCCTTGTGATTGAACAAGTTCGGTCAAACTGTTATTATTCATATGCAAATGAATCAACATTATTATTTGATGAATAAACACCAATAAGCAACGCTGATGTAATTCACTTAAAAAGTGTTCACTCATATTCGATTTAGACAGCTGAATAAGAATAAGAATAAGCTATAAATATTTTTGTTTTGTACTGTTGTTTACCTTATTTGAACATCCTAAATTGACTAAAACACAGGCTACAGCTATTTTTGAACATGAATTTTTTTTATGTTCATCCATTAGTGAAGCTAATAAAAAAATTTCATTGCAATATTCACATGTCCAATTTGTGTGATCTTTATCAAGGTGTTCTGGATACGATTTCAACAGACCCTTCCAATCACATCTGATGCAATTAACCTTTAATCTCAGCAAATCTCTTTGAAATCCTTTATCATCCATCATCTAAAATTGAAGACATTAGAAGATGAAGGATAAAGAAAAAAGATCGACTAACCTCGTTTTTTGTTGCTGTAGTTGAGCATAATGAACATTTTAGAGTAGTAGATTCAGAGCTAAAATATTGAAAGAGAGTGGAAGATAGATGCTGTTATTTCACCATAACAGTACTTAACCAAATAATGATTGAACGCAAACTTGACAGAAGCGATGACCGCAGCTTGTTATCTGAACTGGATCTTTTAGCACGCGCTTGCAGTGGTTACAGATAAAATCACCTTTAATGGAATTAATATTAGCTATTTCAAAACCTCCTGCCATTATATCTAGTAGAAAAACAGAGACCGAGATGAAAATCTCAATCACCAAATCAAATTTGTGCACTTGGGGCAATAATTTTTACACCATTAGATAGTTCTTAGCATATCAAGTCGAGTGTGACGACTCAGTCGGCTAGTGGGCAGACAACGTACTTCAAGCATACGGAGTTCGAATCCCGGCAACGGCGGTCGCGTGATAGTTTTGGACAAACTACCTAATGCTCATTGTCTCGGTACCTTTGGACACATGCAATGGGGTAACCCGATTTCAGTGCCGCTGGACTGGAGATGAAAGTTAAAGTATTTTGAGTAGAGAGTATTTTGAAAAAGTAGAAACTTATGGTTATGTTACAAACAATGTCTCCTATCTCAATAACGGCGGACCTGACTAGAGATATTTTATATTAGTCATAACGGTATGACTATAAGTAGCCTGCAGCCTGCAAAAGAAATTTTTCTTCAACTCGTCTGCAAAATAACTTCAGCCAAATCTGTTTCAACTCGATATGGATTGAAGTATATAGAACCTCTTAATAGTCTGATGTTCTTCAAGAAAACTAATAACTATCAGTTTTAGCCAGAATCATTAGTTTGGATGCAGCGGCAAAAAGCTGAGTCAAGCTGAGTTCTGCAGGATTAGACTCTTTTAGATTAAAAACAAAAAAATTCATGAAGAAAGAAAAATTAGTTATTTTTACCGCTGTTTTCCAATGTCCTAATCTACACATGTACCTACTCATAAGAAGTCCATGCTATTAGGACCAGTCCTATCCTCAAGCAACACCTTTACATGAAAAACGCGTAACTCTGCTACCGGAATCTCTGTGCGTTACCGTTTTTTCTCTTTTCGTCTATCCTATAATATTCGATTTTTCGGTTACAATCGAAATACTAAAAGCCCTAAAAACAAACGACAATGTTTTTGGGGTTCTTCGTATTTTAAGTACAGCATAAAAAGTGTCAATTATTTTGAATTGAGCTAGTGCTGGATTTTGAAGAACGCACTTCATTCTACAAAACAAGACGCTTTTCAGAATTCTACGATATTCTTTCCGAATATTACAGGATAGACGAAAAGAGAAAAAACGGTAACGCACAGAGATTCCGATAGCAGAGTTACGCGTTTTTCATGTTTAATTATCATTTAGATAAATATTTAGTTAATGAATTGCATACATTATATTATAATAGAAATACAATAAACAAAATATTTGAGTTTACTGGAATGTTGAATAATAATAAACATTTAATAAAAAAGCGTATAATAATTTCGTATGATATTACATGTTTGATGAAACAATAGATATCATTGTTAGAAAATTATATAAATCAAGTAAAGAAATCTTTAATGGCACAATAAGACATCAGAAAATTGCTCATTTTTACCACGAAAACTATATTTTTTATTTTAACGAACAAATTTATAATTAAATTGATGGAGGAAGCATGGATGCTCCAATTACAACTTTATTTGTAGAAATTTTTATGAATGAATCTGAAAAACGACATATAGAAATTGGATGTGAATTTCAACAATTCATGCTTATTTTGGTAAAGCATGTCAACATGTGCAATGACATACATCTGAACACTCGAACGGTCAAGAAAAATGTGAACCAAAACGAAAGATATTAAAGCAGATGATATTTTGAACTGTGCTAATACATTTGTCAATTGTCAGCATAATGAAATCAATAATAAGAATAATAAAATGAACACTGCAAAATTGCTTGTCAACAAATCGTCAAATTTTTAGCAAAAAAAAACATGACTAATGACATCGTTATCAAGATTCAATGGAGATAATGAACAGTTTTTCGTCAGTAATTACTATCAATCAATTCAATTTTCAACTCTTCATTTCTATGTTTCCTTGTTCTTAAATTCTACGTTCAATTTTAGTGTCAAACATGACACTATACCTCTCCTCTCTCACTATACCTCCTGATCGAAAATTTTCGTACTTTAAATAGAATAGAATAATTAATTTCAAATCAGTTGCTCTCATTTTCACATGTATATAAAGAATGATCTAGCCTTCTACGAGAAGAAATCAGCCGACATATAAACCTGACTTATAGCATCCTTTGGACTCTTTATCAATTATGCATATGGATACCATCACCAGTTAGATTAAAATGGCTCACAATTAAACAGTGGGGCAACGAAGCGATAGTACTGGTGCAACGAGAGAAGTTCAATGTCGATCGTCGAACAAGATATTTTATAGTATTACTATATGTGTGTTGTGTTACTCGTATTAGTTTCGTTATTCAAACGCGTTCTTCAATTTTATTAGTCCTAAATTTTCGCGCACTATTCGTTTAGAGACGAAGTTTATTTAATAAACATTATTATTTTTAATATGATTTTTTTTATAATTGTCTTTAGTTGAAATCACGAAAAAATGAATGAAGAACCTGTAACGTTTGATTCATCAGTTGACTTTTCAATACGGAAAGAAACAGCGTCTGTAGTGACAACCACACCATTATCTTTACAAGAATCGACAGATGTAAATCAAAAAGATTTAAATATATCGTCAAGTAGTGGTAATGGTGGTCATCCAACTTCGTTCTATCAATCATCGAGTGATTATTACGTTAGTGGATATCAAGATCCATTATTTTTCTTTCAACAACCGCTGTACTATCGACAAGTCCCATTGATGGATATACAAGGAAAACAACAAAAGCTACCAAGATCATCGAATAAAAAGAAATGCAAACAATCGTCAAATAAACGAAAGAATTTAGAAGTAGTTACAAGATCCAATACAAAAAAGGTAAATATTTCGCAAAAAAAGCGGGCAATATCATTGACGCAGAAAAAAAACAATAATTTTACTAAAATGGGTAAATCAACGATAAGTACAAGACAAATGTCCTTAAGATCAGGTGCCAAAAGACATTTAGTAAATTATCAAATTCAAAGTAGAAATAAAAATGAGAAACAAAAGTGGAAAGCAGAGACTAGTTCAAATAGGGTAAAACCTATTCAACAAAAACCTAGTAGAACAACAACGAAAAAAATCAATTACACAAATAATCGTGCAGTATCAACAACATCAAAATCGTTATTACGTAGTAGCCCTTCTACCACTCATCGATATGTTAGACATTCACAAATGCAAAATGTCAGTGATAAAAATCGTTCGAGATCGTCAATTAGAAGTGCAAAGTTAAAAAAAGAAAATTTAGCATCAGAGTCGCCCAAAAACACGAATTTAGAACAAAAGGATGCATGTTTACAGTTAAATGCAACAGTGACACCACAAAACACCTTCGCAACTAAGCGTAAAAATGAAGAAGCAAGTATAAAGCAAAACATAGGTAAGTGCTCGATTAATGACATATTTTATTTTCAATCATAATGTCTTGTCTTTTAGATATTAGTCTGAGTGATTATAATATTTCAGAACCAAAAGTGCCATCATCTATCATAGTTAAATCTAAAAATGACCAAAAATATCTAGTAATAGATACCAAAACCAATCTAAAGAGAAATAAAAAATTCTTTATCAATGAACGAAAGTTGTCAAATCGTTTGCATCCAATACTGAAAGGTAGGAATAAACGTAGATTGAATGTGCGAACACAAAATGTACCGATGCATCGAGTAAAAAAATTATCCAGAAATATACGTGGAACAATTTTAACAACAAAATTGAAGAAACATCACGATCAACGATCAACATTTAGTTTTCCTCGTTGCACTAGTCATACATTGATTACCACCGCTCCATTGACCAACTATTTAAGTACGAGCCATCCAAATCTAATTGGTGATGGTATCCATATGTATCAACATAAATCAAATCCTTCATTCTCGCTATTCTCTACTGAAAACAACAAAAAGCAAACATCATCACCATTTATCACGTCAAAAAACAGTGCACGATTAACTAGTAAGAACAATAATAGAACAACACTCTCATCGATTAGCATCAAATCAACAAGAGTACAAAATAAAGGTGCCAAGCATTCAAATTCAATTCTGAGTGCATTCAATAATAAACAAAATCTAGAATCGTTGAAAAGCACACGCAACAAAAAACGCAAACAATGACCGACAAAAACAGACATAAAATGCCTTTCTTAACAAAACAAAGTTGAATAGAAGCATGTTAACTCGAAACTTTACACATAAGGATACAATCTACCGCTATTTGAATCTAGAAAATGAGCAACACTATTTTTAATCGCATGTTTTGGAAATATATATCTTTTTTATGAAATAAATACAATGCAACTAAGTTAAAAAGTGAGCTAAGGGATTGAAGATAATTATATCCAACTAATTGACAGTTGTAATCATTTAAATTCAAATCATATTCATCCAATGAAGTTCCATTAAGTTTTTTCTTTCGTCCAGTGACAGGTACACAATTTACCATTAACTCACGGAGTTCTTAACTTGATTTCTCAAATACAACTGTAACAACACTCTCAATAATATCATATTTAAATGATAATTGGCTTTTATTTGTAATACATAAATTTTTATACGAAATATTCATTAATTTTGAACTAAACATTTTATTATCAGAAAAATTTAAATTGTCATTAATTTCTACAATAGTAATTTAAAACCAGTAGATTTTCACAAGCTCATATCACAAGATTCTCAAATGAAACATTCTTGAAATTTTCACAACATAGAGTTCCTGTCAGTCTCAGTAGAATAAGACTAGAACAGTTTATTCTGCAGAATAAAGGGTTGAAAATCGATTCGAATGACATTGAAAAGCAGATCGTATTTGGCACAAGTATAATTAAACTTAGACAAAATGTGCATTTTATCCCATAGCCCTGAGATGAACATATATCAAATGACTTGTACACTCAATTTTTCGTTCATTATATTGATTTTTAAGATCAAACTTACACGCATAAGTACAAAATATTAAGGGCAGATTTGTTTTACAGAGTAAAGTAGAAGCAGAATAAACATGAATGACATACAAAATAAAGCATTATATGTTTATATAGAAACAAAAGAATTACATACATTTATCAGGAAAACGTTAACAAAAACCAAAGTATTATGGAAATAGCTTTTGACATATTTTCCAAAATTAAAAGATAATTATAACATAAACGGTAAATAGAACAAGCTAAAATCATTTTAAATTATTTTAATGTTAATAAATATTATGAGCTCGATATCTTACACCAATATATAGAAAAAATGACTTGATAATAATTGAAAAATGAAACTTGACAATAATTTCATAAAAAAACGACTAGATTAAACAATAATTCTATGCTAATGATAAAAACTGACTAACAAAACGCACATGTTGAACTAGTGTACGATTTCTAGATTGACTGTCTTTCACACATGAAAAAGGCTAAAATATTCAGCAGAGAAATTAAAAATTAATCCTATGTGTATGTGACCCGTCATTGACTAGATTAAATTCGTTTGTTAGGTGAGTAAATGAGGTAAAAACAGAGTACAAATAAAACAAAAAAAGACCTTATAAATTTCAGAAAATAGTTGACGAGCAGATCTAAGAAAAACACAACATATATTTAGATACATGTATAGTAAGAGATGTTCTGATAGATTCCTTGTAAAAATTTTCCTAATATTAGCACAAAAAAAAAACAATAATAAAAAGAATCTCATTTATACATAGAAAGTGTTCATTAACCAGATTCTAGAGCATCTAAAAATAATTGTCTAACATTGAGCAAAGAAGATAATTCGAATATCATTTTATGTACTTGAACATTTTCTAATAAATCATTAGATAATGCTGGTTGAGAAGATGGATAGAAACCTGTTCCCTTAAATTAATATAAAAATAAAATTAACAAAAATGAAATGCTTAGAGGTAACAAGTTCAATTAGTTATATTTACTTTGAAAGCTCTGTGTAATCGTAATACGGCATAACAAAAGACAAATCGGGTCAAAAATAAGCGTAAGAAATCATCGCCAAAAAAGTAATAAAATGTACTATCTGGAGAAAAAAAAAAGACACATTTATTCTCAATCATAAGATGTAATTTCACTTACCAGACAATTTTGATTTTAAAAATAATTTTGACACTTCAAATATAATTTTATTTACTTGTTCTTGACATTTTTCCCATATTTCCATGCTCAATTCACTAATATTACATACAAAACAAAATGCCAGTGCTGGAGATGTTAAAAATAATGTAAATAAACTTCCTTTATTCTGATAATCTAAAAAGTACAAATGATTAATGTAACTGATTTATCTATCAATAAACTTTTCTTACCATGAAATACTGTTGGAAGTTTTACAGGTGATAATAATGAAACAAGAGGCTGTCCAAACAAATTTGGCATATTTTGAAATGCTACACTGTTAGTACTGTCGACAATAAGAAACATTGGCTTACGTAGAAATGGATAAATATCGCCAGGACAAACACTAAATAAAAATCCACATAGAAAACGTATAGAATTAAAAAAATATAAAAGATCGTTATTTACCTATGGACTTCATGAACAGATTTTTTACCACTTGTAGATTGTGCTGATGTCATTTGATTAGTACTACTAGATGATGGCGATGGATTATTGTTATTATTTTCCAAACTATCTTCTCGTCTACTATTTGCCTTACAACCGCCAAAATCATACGAATGGTCTACTTTTACTTTTGAATGTGTATCATAACCATCCGCTGATATGTACAACAATAGGACACCATTGAGTGGAAGTTCTCTGAATGCAGATGCTAAAAAGAAAATCTTCTTTATGTTCTATAATCATCGTACATGTGTTAGATATACCTAAATAAACGTATAATTGACTGAATGTCGGTTTATATAATAAATATTTATGTGGATTATTACGATTGAATGGACCACGATCTCCTCGACCGTCGATATCGTATAACTGAAATAAAGAATGATACAAAAATCAAAAAAAGAGATTTTGTATCCAACAAAATATCCAAACGCGTTTTGTGTCAAGAGTTCTTATGCGAGTTTAAAACTGATAAACGGACTGATTATAAAAAACGCTTTCAGTTCCAGTTCTAACTAGTCGGAGTGCCAAAAAGTGATTCCAGTCACTGACTAGTTACCTTTTTTGACTAATCTTTAACTTGTTTGTGTGCGAGTTAAGAACTGGTCAATTTCTGAACTAGCGCAAATAATGTCTTTGTTTTTCCTAACTGGGTCAGAGGCGGCACTCGGAAATTTTGGGACTAATCACGAATCTTCTTGAATTTGTCTTTACTGAACTTAACTTAGAAAATTATTTAGTATGCCTATACTTACACATAAATCACGATGATGTGTAGATGGAGCTGGAGATTGTAAAGTTCTTTCATCATAATTAAATTCAGTCGGCTCTCGTTCAACAGCTTGAAGAAGACGAAACATATCCAGTGTTAATTCACTAAATTTAATTTGATCTTGACAATTTCCAATAATTAATATTTCTTCTAGAATAAATAAATTTTGATTTGTATTCGGTAGCATGGCTATTAATTTATTTTGATCAGATAATGGTGGTATAACAGTTGTTGTTAAGCGATTTGATAATGTAATGGGTATTTGATTGACATTTAAATAATTGTCAATATCAATAAATGTTGTAATCTCATTTAGAACTAATTGCCATTCGAGACGATCATCTGGATCATATGATTTAACATATTCATCAACTTGTCGATTTAATTCACGTACGAGTTCACGCATAATTTTTGTTTTTTTTAATAATAAACAAACAACAATAAATCGTGCATAATAACGTAGCTTTTTCACCATTAAATCAGGTTTTTCTTCTTTATTCACTTTTGAATAATAAGCTCGTGTACGGATAGCTGAATAGAATGCAAATGCTTCATTTAGATAGTTTGTTTCACTTGTTCGAATATAATAATGATAATACAATTGACCGATTTTAGATGCAATTTCACCAATTTGCCAACGTTTTAAACGATATTTGCTATCCAATATAACTCTTAAATGAATAGTAACTCTGTTAATTAATTAATATCAATGTTAATTCAAAATGATAAAATACCTGTGTTGTTGCTGAAATTTCCATAATTTTGTATAAATATCAAATGTTTTACCAAAATATGGTTGCCATTGTTTATGTTCATATTGAGGAAGATCTCTATACAAACAAAAAAAAATCTCAAGTTAAAAATGTTCTAGAATAAAGTGAAAATGAAGTAGTAGTCACCTTAATCCATTAAATAACTGTTTTGATTTCTCTAATAGATGGCCAAATTCGTTAACAATTTTTTGTTCATATTCACCGGACTCTGGTTTATCGTTTAATGCAACATCAGCATACATATCTTATTCATCTAAATAACATTCATGATGCGCGCTCTACAAAGAGAAAAACACATGATACACTACTCTATTAATATAACAAGATCACAAACAAACTAAATCCTTTTGTGTCGATCGTTTAATGGAGAAACGTCCATCTACTCGTTTGAACACAGTTAGATGCAATATTCTTCTTTTGTTTGATGAATAGAACTTTGCTACGTTTTAGAATTAACTTTAAATCTATGTAGTTGATGGCTAAATTTGTAGTCATCAAAAAAAAAAAGAAACTTGGAATTTTATATCTCTGCATTTTTTATTTGAATAAACGATGAATATTTTGTTGACAACATAAGGAAAACGTTGAAAACAATTAATATTCAAAAGATATGAATAAGTACTACAACTCTGTGAGAATTACAATTGACAAGAAAAAAGTTGTCATTAAGTTAAGAAAATAAATATTAATTAAAAGTTATTCAGTCAAAACATCAACAGATCTTTAGTATTAGAAAAACAAAATATTTTGATATCATTCAAAATTTATGTTGCTCAAAAAGGAATGTAGAACAATAGAATTTTTTTTTAATTTTATACATGCTTATACAAATGAGCATGAATGGCAATAATGAGACTCTGACGATAAAAACTGGACGGAAGAGACACATACTTTGTTTCAAGAGTTAGATAGTTATGTAAAAGAAAACAAACATATTCAATTCATTCGTTATTGACATTCTCACATTAAAAAAAGAAAAGAAAGCAATAAGTTACAAGTTAACATTTTCAAACGACAAGCAAAGGGTTATACAACAAAAACAAAACATATAAAATCTGCAGTTGTTATTCATGAGTAAAAATCATGAAATCATCATAAGATGGAAGATAGACTTCGTTTTATATCAGGATCAATTAAACATTTGCATGCTTGCAAAATTGTAAAATGTTTCAAGCTGGTGAATAGCATCTGTTGAACTTTGACTAACAAAATCTATAATCAAAGTAATAATGTATAAATGATCCAATACATAATGAGAATAACGTGAAAATTTAGTCGGAAAACAAAAATTTCAGAAAAAATATTAATAATGCCAAATATCGAATAGTGTTATCTAGTTATTTCACTCTCGTCCCATTTTATTATCTGTCAACATCACACTCCTATCACAAACATTAACCACCCCTCTACATTCTCGAAAATTTAGTATTTTTTGACATTTTTCACTTTCAATCACAAACATACTGAACAACTTACATTTTATACTGGGAAATTTAAACAGTAAATTATTAATAGACTGTTGACAAATAACAACACTGCCCGATCCAGCCAACTCTAACCCAATAACGGGACCTGAAAAAACAGTAATTTATTTATTAATAATTGTCTCAAGTCGTGTGCATTAGAAAATTCATTATATATACCTTTTGTTACGAGAACGTTAGCAAGTCGATTACCAAATATTCGATCAGCACTCAATTCATTGATGGTGTAACATTTACTTTGCACCAGAATAATCTAAATCAGGAGAGAATAAAAATCTTGATTAGAATGTAACATAGATCATTTTTTAATTTTACATTCGACTGTCGAATCATTCGAATAAGTTCACGAGCATAAGCATCATAATTCACCTCGTGAAATAGTACGATAAGACAGCGCTAGAAATAAATATTTAGTGTTATATTTCAGGTTAAAAATAAGCACGAGCGACTCGATCATACCTCATCATTACGTTCACGGAATAATTCGCCATATGTATATGGTGTTATACTCTGATCTGGATTGTTACTTATATTCAAATGACTACACGACGGATCAATGGGTGCTGGTATATACTTAAAAACTGTGTCGGTCTAGAAACAAAAAAGTTTTACATTTTTGTAGAATTAGAAGATAAATAGCCATGTACTAACATCATCCATAAGTGAGTAATTTTTATCGTCAGGAATTTTTGTAAAGTCATGAATATTACTCCAGTTATTATTATACGGACTAATACCAGCTGACACGTAATGTTCTAAAATAAGTCAAAAGAAATATTTAAAAAAATTTATTCACCATTCTGTCGGGATGCCTCAATCACAAGACAAAATCACTTTGAACGATTTTTATTGAGAGAATCTGGTATGAGTCCTATAGTAGAGATAGGGAATCATCCTTCGCGCTATGTGCACTGCTAGATTGATTTTTCAGAATAATGACAAGAATTTTATCGTTTATTTTCTGTAGGAAGAAAGGTGAACAGATCCGTACATTAGACTCCTGCGGGACAGCCTCGAATTTCATCCCGTCCCGTGGGACAGACGGGGTCGGGACAAAAAAACGAATATTTAATTCTTGTAATATCGGGTGACCCAGAATAAATGGCCCTCCTCATATTTTGCTTATAATATTTTTTTCATTCTCTACAAAACTTGATCAAACTTATTTCTATAAAAAGTTAAGGAGAAATATGAAACGAAAAATATTCAACATGACGAAAGGACCAACTTTCTAAGCTATATTGTTTCACAAATTTTGGAACATTTTAAACAAGGCTAAAGACAATGAAACAAAACTGAAGATATTTTTGAGTACTTTAAAGTGCTCTCTTTCTCCTTATGCAGTTCAAAGTTCGTTCAAATCCAAATGAACACTGAAAAATCTGACCTTCCAAAATTCACCTGAAGGTGACCAAAATCTGCTATTGCTCGGCAGATGAATTTATGAAAAAAGCTTTAAGGTAACTTTTGCAGCTGAATCTGGCACAGGTATCATTTCTCATCAAAATAAAATAGACCGAGCCATTGTGCATCTAATACTGATTGATAGACCTTTTCAACGGCTACAAAATACGTGTATTCTCTTCTTCTCATCATCCAACTTAATGAAAGTGGTAGAACAAAACGTTATTTCAGCTTAGAAAATTGGTCCTTTTCATCGTGCTGAGTATTCTTCATTTCATTTTTCTCCTTAACTTGTTATAGAAATAAGTTTGATCAAGTCTTGTAGAGAATTTGACGGCGCATCTTTTGGAAAAATGATCAGGTCTAAGGATTGAAAAGAAAAGAAATTATATGCAAAATACGATGACCATTTATTCTGGGTCAACCAATACTATCAAGTCAAAACCATAATTTTACAATAACTAATAAAAATTAACCTGGAGAGGCGAAATACTCTGGATTTAACCTTGAGAAGGTGTTCCATATCTAAAACTAGGTTTACAGTTCTTTCCTTTCGATTCCGAGCTAGTGAGTGGATGTAAAACATTCTTTGATACTGCAAAGTTTAGACCCAAATAAATTAGACTTAAGTTTTGTCATGTGGATTTTTTGTAAAACTGAGTTTGAGACTTTAAGCGTCTCTTGTAATAGTTACGGTTTATCACAGCAGAAAAAATTTTTCAAAAAATTACAGGACAAACGGGACGGGGCAAAAAAGTCCATAAATTTTTTCCACGGGACAGACGGGTTCGGGACAACATTATTTGCTCACGGGGTCGGGGCAACAGAAAAGTTTATCCCGCAGGACTCTACCGTACATGTAAATAAAACAATAAATAGTAACACAATTTTATAACTATGTCGTGACCGATTAAATTAAACTCTCAACATGTTATCCTACATCTCGCTTCATTGCTTTATTTACTACAGCGATTGTTTTATTTCTCACGGTTCTCAGCTGTACAGCATATCCAAATGAAAACAAATACATGTAATGTACAATATTCAACGGACACACGATCCTTGTCGATTGATACTGTGTCGAAATATGTCTATCAGCAATTCATTCATTATATTCGTAAAGAAACAAGATCCAATGATCATCAATCAACTTCGTTACTAATTGCTGTATCAATAGCTCAAGCATTCTATTTTATGTTCGACTATGAGTATGAAACACTGATATCTGACAATCAATCATTTTTAAAAGGTTAAACAGGTCTACATATCATAAGGAATATTCAACTTGCTTGATTTTATATCGAGAATTTTTAGAACAAAAAGGTAGGAAGGACTAAATAAATGATACAACTAAAAAACTACATCAGTTTTCAAATAAATACAATGTATTTTTAAATAAGACTAAATGGAATAAAAAAAAATGCAGAGAACAGCATTAAAGTTCAAAAGAAAAACAAGCAATTTGACGTAGAAACGAATAGAACACGTTAAATGATTCTCAATAATTCTGATCATGGACCAAAAAACGGTATTAATTATAAAATTGAATTAAATATAAAACACTAAACTAATGAATTGTGTTCGTTATGCGATGGATCGCGTATCAAATTTTACCACTGACAAAGTGGTGATCTGTTGTTAACAGTCAGTTTTCACATTATTGAATACAGAAAAAGATCGCTTCTCATGCTTACTCTTTTCATTTAGCTTATTAAAGAACCTTTAAAACAAACACCCCTCTCGTTATTGTCTAAAACAAATTCGATCGAACTATTATTGAATGATGATCACGTAAATCTTAGGTTATTTATATCGGTTTTGTCTCATACCAAGACAAGAAAGATGTTGGAAACCATAATGATTAGCATTGTCTGCCTATTCTTATGCTTCTTATATCGACTCGACTCAAAACTCCTTTTTTTTTTCATTATGTACAATCATGCCATTTGACTATTTTCAAAACTGTTTTTAGGCTTACCGACTAATTTCTCATAAAAATATGTTAAACAACCAAAACGAATATGATGAGATGATTCAATAATTGGTTGACTTGCACAAGATAAAAATATATTCACATCATGACAATCTCTTGCACGAAATTGTTGACAAACAGTTGCTAAACTACAATTTTCGGAATCACGAATAAATATACTAGAAAAAAAATAAAAATGAACTATAATAGATGATAAAACGTAAACTCAGTTAAAATATACCTTCCACGAACAGGACCAATGAATATTCTACAATGTTTACAATCATCAATTTGAATTTGTCCCGTATGATCAAACACATAAATTGTACAATTCTAGTAAAAAAAAAAAAGATACAATATAATTATTTCAAAAATTTAGGAAAATACTTACTTCGCAATTTTGAATTATAAACTGTTGTCCATTAACTGTACCTGGAAGACGAAAAACTGTTTGATCTTTTAATTTGTCTAAAATATAGTCACTTTTATTAAGTACTTTCCGTTGATCCCTAGAACAGAAGAAAAAACACACATATCATTTACATACGTTTGAAGTATACCAAACTTACCAAGAATATGTGGGTTTAGGTATTTCAATAGCATCAGCATTCGGTTCTGGATGAAAAAATAAACATCCCATCTAGAAGTATATTTAACTTAACATGACAAGTATTTTACTCTCATACACATTTTTAAATTATTGTGTTCTTGTTGATACCTCATTAATCAGAAGAAAATAAGCTCTTAGTCAAAGTTTTATAAATTCTAAAAGGTTTTATAATCACTTTTTCTTAATGTGCTATCATAAACAAAAGAACTTCAAAGATATACGCATGCAGCAGGGTTGATAAATATTTTCTCACGTGGGGGACAGTACAGTTCCTAATATAAATTGAAGATTTCTCTCATAAAAAATCCGTCTCCTAGAGTGTTCTTTTGCTCGGAAAAAGCAAAAAGTTTTAAATTGTTGAATGATAGTCACTCGTGGGACTTCCCTGCTAAGCGAGACACCTTTATTTGGATACAAAAATATGTGAAGTTGAACGTAACAAATGTGAAATACGAACATCGTTCGAGAAAATGGCAATCAGTTTAAAACTTATTGTCTTATATAAATTGTTCACACAAATAATTTAGAGACTTTAATTTTCAATGCTAAAAGTGCGTTCATATGAATGTTAGTACAGTGTGAGACATCCGTTAAAGCTAATAAAACGTTCTTGTCAAAACTCTTTTGTTAAATGTTTGTCAGATAAGAATATTTAAACATCTGTGGCTTTCATAACTTTTTCTTTTTCTTTTTATTGATTTATAATTCATCGTTTTAATATTAAGAAGGTAAATCTCAATTTTTTAGGTTCGTAAATTTTTCTCCTCTTTCCTATATGTTCCAAATTTTTTCTTATACTTAGCACGATAGAAGGAAGTGTGCTCTTCAAAATAAGACGTCTTCCAGAATTTTTCGATGAGTTTTCATGGAGATACACCCATCATCGCAAATTGCCTAAAAAAGACATATGTAGAATATGCGTTTTTTCAATAGTCCCTTCAATCCAGTCACTTTACGATCCTTCGAAAAAATGGTCCGATCGAGCTCAAATGTTTACTACAGATACTGTAAGACTAAGATTATTCACGAAAAGTGAGAGTCATCAAAGGTCACCGGTCTGTAGTAACAATGACTCAAGCCAAACAACACCAAAATAGTAATAAAAGAAATAACAAGATTATTCCAATCAGTAATAGTTGAATAAAAAAATGAAGAATGCACCGTTTGTGGAGTAAAACCATCAACAGAAGGTGGAAGACGAACGTATTTAGAGTGATGAAGACGTAAAGATGAGTAGTGAGGACGATGAATAGTATAAAAGAGAGAAACAGGACTT